GGTCCAGGTTCAGGTCTGGGTCCGGTCCAGGTTCAGGTCTGGGTCCGGTCCAGGTTCAGGTCTGGGTCCGGTCCGGTTTTCACGCTGTGGTTTGTGTCTGCAGACGAGAACGTGGCGGCGGAGCGGGAGCCGGGCGAGGTGGTGGACAGCCTGGTGGGGAAGCAGGTGGAGTACGCCAAGGAGGACGGCGGGAAGCGGTCGGGGATGGTCATCCACCAGGTGGAGGCCAAGCCCTCCGTCTACTTCATCAAGTTCGACGACGACTTCCACATCTACGTCTACGACCTGGTCAAGACGTCCTAAGGCCGGGGCGTCCAGACCGCAGCCGGACTCCGTAGCTCTTTGTTTCTAGAGACGCCTTAACGCGAAGGACGCGGCGCCATCAGTCATCGACTCTTCAACCGGACCAAACGGCTGGAACCCGTGTTGGGTTTCCAGATTATCGCGGCACAAGCATCTGTCTTTACTAAGCTTCTCCTTCCTGTGACTCCATCCGGAGGAACGTCTCGTTTCCTGACGGCCCTCTGGCCCTGGCGGGGCGTCTGAGCCCGACGGGCTGGGACAGCGTCGGGAACACGGATCCGGACCGCTCTGCGATGGGCAGAGAAAAGACATTCCCTCTGAAATTTGTGCCAAATTGTTGAACTTTTCTAGAGCGTCACTCCAACCGGCTGGTTTCAGGGTTCCTGAAGCGTCACGTGAACATCCGGATTATTCCGCATTTATACTGTAACGGTTTTCCACATGCCCCGCCCCCTGTCTTCTAAATGTGGACAATCATGACCTCATATCGGTATAAACCCAGATAACGGTGAATCTTAGACCCTCTGGCGTTTTCAGGATCTGCTTCTGGACCGAGGAACCTTCCAGATTCCAGAGCCGACCCTGGAAGACGACAGAGAAGGTTTTCCCAACAAATCCCTGGACTTCCTACGAGTCCCATCCAGAGATGATCCGGATCAACTGATCCTGGAGTTCCCTGTAGAGTCTGTTGATCCAAATATAATCTGGATCAATGGATCCTGGAGTTTCTGATGGGGTTTGTTGGTCCAGAGATGATCTGGATCAGTGGATCCTGACGGAGTCGGTTGGTCCGGATCAGTGGATCCTGGGGTTCCTGTCGATGACCCGAGTTGCTGCTGTTGTAGTTTACAGTGTTTTTCTTGTACAGTGATCTTATGTGGGACGTCTCGGTTCCTCCGTGTCGGTTTCGTTCCCAGTGGGTCCGGACTCGTGGACAGACTGGATCTGTGGATCGAGGCGCTCTGCAGCATCCGGTCGGGTGTTTGAAGGAAGTCCTGCTCTTTTCTCTGATGTAGCCCATCTTCCTCCAACAGAAGCGCTAGCAGCCATGTTGCCTGATCCTCATCTCATGTGCCTGAAGGACGGATCCAGACGTTCCTGCTGGCTGGGTTGGGAAGCGTCGCTCACGGCTCCGGCTTTCCTCTCTGTTGAAGCTTTTCCTGGTTTCAGGATCTAGATTTCTAATCTGCTGAACGTCCAGTTCGTCCCAAAACCCAAATGGTGTCCAGCGTCGCTTCTTCTTCTCCAGATCTCCTCTGAACTAAAACACGGGTTTTAATTTTGATTCAATGAAAATCTGAAAATACAGGAATTCAAACGTTTTCTTTTTTTTGTTTAAAATTCTAACTTTTTCCCTAAGAATTTTGACTTTTTCTCTGAATTCTCACTTTAATCACATTATTCAGGTTTTTCCCCAGAATTCTGACTTTAATTTCTACCAGAATTGCCTAAATTGTTTTTGCGCCTTTCAGTCAATCTTGTCTTAAAACTCGACTTAAACGACTTTGAAACCCAAATTCTGAGATTATAGTCAGAATCCCAGCTTTTCGTTTCAGTGGTTATAATTTTCTTGACAGAAAGCACAGGGACGTTTTGTTCATGTTGAGAAACAAACTGCTGGTTGTAGAGCAGCTTGGAAACCTGGAGCTAATCTGGTGGGATGAGTGGATTAACATCAGGATCTGGGGATTAAAGTGGATCTTTTTAACTAATTGAAGTTGCAGATGATTTTTTTTCTAAGACTTGATGTATTGGATCTTTATAAAAACTGATGTTCTGGAGTAAAGGAGCAGCTGAATAATCTCCTCTGTTGGGTTCAGGTCAGATTATTTCAGCTTTTTATTTCCTGGAACTTAAATGTACATTCGGAGTTATTTGTTATTCTTTGGGAGTTTTTTAAGGAACATGTCAGTTTTTTAAAGTTTTTCCTGACGGTTTCCATTCAGGGCGACTGGAATCTCGTTCCCACAGATCAAAACCTTTTCAGGAAGCATTGATGGATAAATCTGGATAAATCGTGTCTTGGCTGAGGGGATCGTTCTGTTTAATTTCAGGAGTTTTTACTCCAGTTTCCAGAATGTCTCAGCTTTCATGATTACATTCAAAGTTACATTTTGATTCATCACCTTTTTCAGAATCACTTTCCACATCATATTTTGTTCCAGAATCATGGAGTTTAGAGCAGGCGATCATTTTTTACTGTTTCTTGAATACTTGATGGTGCAGCGCCACCATGTGGAGAACAGGTCGGTTTTAAACTGATCCAGTCGCTCTGGAGGCACAAATATCAGCTACTGACTGAAACCGCAGAGGCTCTGCTGTGTGAGGCGTTAGTTTTCAGTTTTACGGTCCAGATTCTAGAAATCCAAATACTTGTTTTGTATTTCTAAAACAATCACAGATTTTTACTGTGAACATTTTCTTCCAGATTGTCAAAAATGCACATCAAAATCAAGGCCATAATTTCAAAACTAGAGGTGGGACTCTACTAAAATATTTAATGGCGTTAATTAGAGGGACTGTCATTAATTAATAAAACTACATATTGACAAAATAAGCAACATTTTCAATTCAGAAACTTTTTTCTGCTGAATAAACTGACATCTGAGCTCCACAGCAAATATAGTTTTATTCTGTTCAACCATCAGAACGCTGATATTAGCGTTAGCCGCTACATGGTTAGCACTGAGATGCTACTTTAGCCTTAAATATCTTCACTCGTATGCTAACTCCTTCTAACACAACAATGGTCTAATCCAGACTAAATCTAATCCCGACAGAAGCGCCTGTGTCCGCCACCACTGCTGCTAGCTTGTGCATCAGTTTTATAGGTGTACTAGAAATGCGCAAATACAAAGGTTCCTTCTGGAATATTTATATGTAAAAAAATAAAATTGTGTTAAATTTTAATCAAAATCTTTTCTATATACTCAAATTTTATTTTATTTTATTACCCATCTGGATTTTCTAGAGAATTCCTCTAACAGATGCTACATGTTGTAGTTTTAGGCAGATGAAATGTTGATGGGATTTAAGCAGCTCTTGAAACTGTAACTTTCCAGAACATCGGGTCTGGATAAATCTGGATCCAGAAAACATCAGATTTCCCAGGTGTTCACATTTTCAGCTCCCCCAGATTTATTCGTCGTTTCCGGTTCTAGAGGGTAAATGTAGATTTAAAGCACCGCTCTGCTGCTCCACGAAGGTAAATCAAGATGAATCTCCCCTGATTCCGGTGACTCCAGGGTCGGATTGATGTGATCCTCGTTATTTTCCAGAAAACTCTGGATCTGTTGTGTGATTGGACGTGTGTGCTGTAGCGCCTCCTCTGTTCAGATAGTGTTACTGCATGCTGCTTTTCTCGCTCTGTGGAAACTGATGTGTTGCATGTTTGTAGGTTTCAGTTGTTCGGTTCTCTGTTGTGGCTTTTTGGTGCCTCTTGTTTCCTTTGGTTTGTTTTGTACCTTTAGCCCCCCCTGGTGGGCTGAAGAACTTATGGGTTGTTGGATAAAATAAAAATGAAGAAGAAAACCCATCCCCGACCAGCGGAATAGCAGGTTAGCAGGTGAACTTGTGAAGATGTTGCAGAGGTGATGGTGGCTGTAAAGTTGATGTTTCAGAGTGCCAACTACAGATGCCAGTGTTGTACAGCCGTGTAAAGCTCTAACTATTTACATGAATAAAAACCTGTTTTTCATACATATCTTGTCTCTTATTCTGTGATTCAGTTTAGATTATAATGTGTCAGAACTGGAATTAATGATAAAATTATGTTTGTACAACCAGAGATATGAAGGGAATCTAAAATATTTGGAGTATGTTTGTTGTTTTGTTGCTATTTACTATTTGTTATAGTACAACTGAAGAATAGTAAATGTTTATGAAAATATATCTTCCATATATAAATAAACTGCTATTAATTATGCACATTATTATTTCAGTTGAATTGCACTTAAAACATTGATCACAGTTTGTGTTGGATCATTCTGCAAAGTGGTAGAAAGCAAATAAAAACTCAGATTTTATTCTGAAATGTTCGTAGTATTTTCTATAGTTGCTAAATTATTTATTGGTGAATTGGGCTTTTAATCTCATTTAAGAACTGTAGGTACAATATGCTGTTCGTTAAAATTCTGACCACCAGGGGTCGCCTCAGACACCGTTTTACTCCCATAATGCATTTCTCCTGATCTGTTCACTCTCTCCACTTTAAGGCCTTCGCATCTGGAGCTGCTGGTTTTATTTATATCTTTATTTATCAGGTTTATTTGTTCCAAAACTTCGTGTGGATTAATCTGGCGGAGAAAGAGAAGAAAATCGAGTTTAATGAAACCATGAGTCAGAAAGTCAGAGAGGAGGTTGAAGACGGCTGGCCGCCATATTGGTATCTGATCCTTTCGGTTCATGAAAATGATGATTGGTTGATTCACAGAGGATCTGTGAGGAGGCGTGGCCTAATCCTTGTTACGCATCGCGCCTTCAGACCGTCTGATCCTGAACCGAAGTCCGAACAAAGTTTAAGTTTGGTTTTAGAAATGAAATCCTGGAAATCTTGTTTTCCTGTGAGCTAAATGATGTTTCCAGCTGAACTAAAAAAACTCAAAATAGTTTCTGTACTAAAATCCAACAAATGGAAAGCAGAACAAGAGGAACTATAAGAAAAATTATTTCACTTAGTTATAGAAGTTAATATTACACAGTCTGATTTTCCAGTGAAATAAAAAGATTATGAATATAAAGGAGCCCAAAGTACAGTTTTTAAAAATAATTCAGAATGATTGAAAATACTTCTTTATTGTATCTCAATATTATTTATTATGTATATCTATTTCTTTTGTGTTATATGTGTTTATCTGATTTATTTCAAAACAGCACGATTTTAAATTGAAAAATAGTTTAACTCCAAATTAAATAGACTTTTTTAAAAAAAGAATGAAAAACATACTTCACCTTAGAAGAATATCAGTTTTAAAAACAATTTCTAAAAAATGTTTAAAAATCTTTAACATTTTTTTCTTGCTTGGACTAAAGTCTCTGTTTATGTTCAGTACACTAAATACATAAAAACATTATAAATATCGTTGATTACCGATAATCAGTAGTTTAGCAAGTATCGCGAGATTTCTTCAAGCTGTCTCTGTGACGCTGCGCGAGATTTCCAGCTAAACAAAGATGGTGTCTTCCTGATGGTCCATGTGGCTCCACGGATCTGAAACCCTCCCGAACATTAATTTATCTTACTAAACTCCATCGGAACCGGTTACTGGATCAGCGAGGATCTCTGAGAGGAAGTCAGGATGCAGCACGACGACGTGAGTTTGATAACTTCCTCTGAAGATGAACACAGGCTCGGTTTAGCCCCTAAGCTAACGTTAGCCACCGGTAAACCTTTAAAAACCGATTAAAAATCAATCAGCTGATGGAACACTATTCTGTTATCAATAGTTCTGTCAGTTTACTAGATCCCGTGTGGATATTAAGGGTCCTACATTAGCTACATTTAATTTATGCGGAACATTTTTTTCTCCCGTTAGATGCCAACAGACCTAATTGGAAAAGTCTAAAAATTAAGTTTAACCGGGTTTAGTGGAAATAAAATGAAAAGTCAGAACAGAGGTGGAGGTTCGATTGTTCGGGGTTGGTATGAAGATAATTTCGGGGGGAATAAAGTTTCAGATTTTTGTCACGTGGGTCCAGTAAACAACCTTAAAACTCCCCCGTCCTGTCCAGAACCCCTGATCCGGTCCTCGGTTTCCTTCCGGTGATCCAGACTTTCCGGAAGCTTTAAGATGTTCTCCTGCTCTAACACACCTGAATCAAATGGCTGAATGACCTCATGTCGTCAAGTTCTGCGACGGCCCGGTTGGTTCCGATGGTTTGGATCTGGAGACAAGAAAGTCTGGATCACAGGAAGGGAAGAAAACTGGATCAGGAGTTAAAGATGCTGATCTCTAAAATCAGATGTTCTGATCGTTTCGGATGTGTGTAACCTTTGAACTCTGCCCTCTGCAGGTCATCTGGGACATCATTGGAAACAGGCAGTTCTGCTCCTTTAAAGTCAAGTAAGTTCTGAGGCGTCCTCCTACAGTCCGGTTCCGACCCGACCAGTTAGAGTTCTCCTGACTGGACCCGGTCCAGAGAAATTGTACCAGACAGCTCAGGAGGTTCTCTGATTGGTTCTTCTCTGTGGAGCAGGAAACACAGAAACCAGATGGTTTTATAGAAGAACCTCTGATTGGTTTGAGTTACATAAAATAAATGTTAGCTCAGCTTGTGAGTGAGATGTTACTATACGAGACCAAAAGCTCAACAATGTTCGCATATTCGAGTTTAAAATTGTAAATTTCTGCCTTTATTCTTGGAAAATTTTACTTTTTTTGGTAAATTTTTTGACAGCAGAGAATATCCACATTATTTCTTGTAAAAATATGAAATGAAGGTAGAAATGTCTGGAGGGTTTCGGTGGAAATATTCTCTGGTTTTTCATCCAAATGACAAGAAAATCGTTAAAAACCAAAAACTTTGAATCTTTGATCTGGAAAGTATAAAGTTTCTATCCGTTATTTCTCCTCTTTGCTGTAAAATGTCTTTTAAATGAACTTATTGTGAAGTTTGTTCATAAATCCTGATAAACGGCCAGATGGAGGAAAACGAGGCGAATCAGATGAAAAATCAAAACTTTCTGAGAATTAAAGGCGTTTTGGTTTCCTTTCTGTCTGGATCACAAGATCTCCAGGGTTCCTGCCGGTTTATTTCCTCCCATCCATCAGAACCCTGACGTCTCTCTCTCTTCTTCTCCCGGATCAGAACCAAGGGCGGGAACTTCTGCCGGAACGAGTTCAACCTGACGGGGTTGTGCAGCCGCGCGGCGTGTCCGCTGGCCAACAGCCAGTACGCCACCATCAGGGAGGAGAAAGGTCAGCATCACCTCCCGCCGGACCGGGTTCCCGACCCGACCCGGAGTAACGGCTCCGTGTTCTGTTGCAGGTCAGTGTTTCCTCTACATGAAGGTGATCGAGAGAGCGGCGTTCCCGGCCCGGATGTGGGAGAAGGTCAGACCATCATCATCCTCCTCATGATGAAGAACCTGAGCTTCATTGTGTCGCTTTTTTTGACCTCTGACCCGATAAAACCGAATCATTGCCATGAGGAGCAGCTTATTATGGGATGTTCCTCACAGCGCGTATGGAAAGCTGTCGGCTGATTTTATGATAAAACTAACAGTTTGAGAAAACTGTTGACTGGATCAGAACCGCTGTTCTGTTGGGCCTTTAGCTTTAGGAAGACCCATGCAGGATCCAGCCTGGTGTTCTGGTTCTGACCCGGTTCTGATGCCTGCAGGTGAAGCTGAGCAGGAACTATGAGAAGGCTCTGGAGCAGATCGATGAGAACCTGATCTACTGGCCGCGCTTCATCCGACACAAATGCAAGCAGCGGTTCACCAAGATCACCCAGTACCTGATCCGGATGCGCAAGCTGGTTCTGAAGAGACAGTGAGTTCTGAGGTGCACGGGAACCCGACCAGAACCGGGCCGTGCTTCATGTCTGGTGTTTCTCTCTTCCAGGAGGAAGCTGGTTCCGCTCAGCAGGAAGGTGGAGAGCAGAGAGAAGAGGAAGGAGGTAAGATGGAGGCGGACAAACCCGACCAGAACCGAGCCGGTGAGGGGGTTCTGACCGTGTTCTGGGTTCTGTTTGCAGGAAAAGGCTCTGATCGCCGCTCAGCTGGACAACGCCATCGAGAAGGAGCTGCTGGAGCGACTGAAGCAGGGAACGGTACGAGGAGCTGAGCGCCGCCGAGGGTTCTGGTCCGACCCGGACAGGGTTCTGGTCCGACCAGGACAGGGTTCTGGTCCTGGTTCTGATCCGGTCAGCATTCTGGACTCACTTCCTCTCTGTGTTTCAGTACGGAGACATCTACAACTTCCCGGTCTACGCCTTCGACCGGGCGCTGGAGCAGCAGGAAGCCGAGAGCGAGTCGGACTCCGAGGTGGAGGAAGAGGAGGATGACGAGGTGATGAAAGAGGAGCCTCTAACGAGGGGGCGGGGCCAGTGTAGGTGTTTTATTCTGAAAGGTTTCCTGTTCCTGTCTGCAGGACGTCGGGCAGAGTGAGTTTGTAGCAGAAGACGAAGTGGACGAGAGCGACCTGAGCGACTTCGAGGTGAGTCAGGCAGGAAGTAGACCCTGGAACTCCAGGAAGTAGACCCTGGGACTCCAGGAAGTAGACCCTGGGACTCCAGGAAGTAGATCTTCAGGAAGTAGAGCTGGACGGTGGTTCTGACTGGTCTTTGTCTCCCAGGACATGAACAAGCTGAAGACGAGCAGCGATGAGGAGGAGCAGCAGGACTCAAGTGAGGAAGAGGAGATGGAGGTGGAGACGAAGGCCTCGCGGTCTAAAGGGAAATCTCCGGCCAACGGATCGGCGCCGAGGAGGAAGCGAGCGTTCGTGGAGATCGAGTACGAGACAGAACCCGCCTCCAAGACCAGAACCACGTAGAGACGCTCCGATGGCGTCGGACCAGGACCGCTAACCCCCCACCATGTTGCCATGACAACAACAAAGCTGCTGACGGCGGAGTCCATTGAGCCTGAATGGCACTTGAGTCCAGTTGGACCGGATCGGGACAGACCAGAGAGACATTAAAACCCTCAAACCTGAAAAATAAAAAATAAATTTCTTTTTTTAAAAATAAATTTTCTGATTTTAATTTATTTGCTTCAATTTAGAAAATGTTCTGGATTTAATAAAATCCAACGCAGGAAAATGATGGAATAAATCCAGATTTCACATCTTAAAGCTGATCAGATTTAACCCCTGACTTCCTGTTTCTGGATCAAACATGGCGGCTTCTGCCACTGGAGGACTTCCTGCTCTGCAGTCGATGCTTGTCATAATTTGCAGTCACTTAATTTATGAATGCAGTGGAACCTTTTTTATCATTAAATAAAAACAAAGCTTTGACATTAAAGTAAAACAAAAAAATCATTTCATTTCTAGCCTCTATTTATTCAGTAAATGTTTTTACATAAGATCAATGAAAATACTATCAATGATTACAAGAAAAAAATACTTTATACTGACTGTACTGTGAATGAACTGACGTTTATTAGTGTAGCTAGCTTTTAGTTAGCGGGTCCCACCACTGCCTGCTCTACACAAGCTGAACACTAGATGGCAGCATTTGGCACATTTATCTTTAAATTCTCATTTCTACATGATCTGATCAGAACCGGATGTCTAAACTAGACATGTTGCCCTCTATCGGCAGAAGAGAGAAGTGCAGACAAACCACAGCAGTCCTGTTGTAACGTACAGTATTTATACTTTATTTACAAATAACTGAGTCCCCGCGGTTTAATGACAGCTGAAGAAGAATCAGAACAATTTCATATAAATAAAGGAATCATGAGAAGCTCGATGGAGGCGCTAGCAGACAGAAAATCAAAAACAGAGAAGAAGAAATGTGCAGCTCATGATGCAGCCAGAGCGCAGCGGTCGATGTGCGCCCCCTGCTGTCGGGACGAGGTTAGTGTAGTCATGTCATGCTTCTGTTTTCCTTTGGTGAGCGAAGCTTTAAGGCGGCAGAACCAACAGAACTTTTCCAGAAACCTTCCGACTCTTTGGTCCCGACAAACTTCACAAACTAAAGTGCTGAGAAGGAAGAAGGAAGTTCATGATGAGGAGGAGGAGGATGAAGATGATCTGATTGTTCTGCTGATGGACTGAGGAAGAGGAGGAGGAGGAAGCTGCGTTATAAAAACATGGAGCCGAGCGTCCACCAATCAGCAGAGAGTTCCCCGGATACGCACAGCTGGACCTGAGAGGCACCAGAACCAGCTCAGAACCGGATCAGAACCGGATCAGCTGGATCAGAACCGGGTCAAAACGGAGTGATGGATCAGAACTGAACGGGTTAACTGGGTCCGATTTTAATCTGAAATCAGTCAGAAAAGCCGCACCAGGTCAAAGGTCAGATTCCCATCTGGAAGTGAGACGCACTTTTAAGATTCATCTGGTTTTTATTTCTAGAATTTTGCAGTAATTTTATCGGCTCAGATAAAGTCCGGTTAGCCGCAGAACTAGCCAGGCCGTAAACATCGGCCCATCTGGGAGAACCAGAACCGGGTCTAAGCAACCCAATCAGTGAACAGGAAGAGTTCTCCGTTAAGCTGGTCCCACTCCAGCCACCGGGGGGCGCCGCCAGGAATGATTTGGCTAAAAACATTTAATAAAAGATCCGGTTCTGGTTCTTCCTGATCCGATGTTATCTGGGCTCACGGCAGAACCGGGCCTGTTAGTTGGTTCTGGAAGAGTCCGATTAAAACCAGCTTTTATAAAATATTATTTTATTTATTAATACTTTAATAATTATTCTCTGTTCTGTGCTGCAGCAGAACCAGCGACCCAGTATCTGGGTTTATCGACAAGATGTTGGACTTTCAGAACCAGGACGATTAGTTTTTATTTTTAAATTGGAGAAACATCTGGAGTTGCCAAACCCGGGTCGAGACCAGAACCAAAAGAAACCAGGAACCGGTCGGGAAATCCAGAATTTGTGGTTCTAAAGGTCATGAACTGGATTCTGGATCGACCTGGATGGAAATCCACACGGTTCTGATTGTTGGGTTCTGGACGGCCTGGTTTGGGACCCGGTTCTGTTTTCCCGGTGGGTCCCCGGAGTCTGACAGACTCAACCTGATGTTTGTGGACTTATCCAACCCGGACAGGACCGGATGTGGACCGGTACCGGTCCTGACCGGGTATTAGGATTTTAAGAGGAGAACCTTCTGGGTTCAGCTGGGAGTCCTTAGTGACCCAGCTGTGGTTCTGATCGGATCCTGGTCTTTTGTTCTGAGCGGGGTTCAGGTTCTGACCGGGTCCGGACTCGGAGCTGGACTGGTTCTGGTACCAGAGGAGGATCAGAGACATGATTTAGTGAAGCTGATTGGATCAGTGATTTGGGTTCTGATGGAACCGGTTGTGGCTCTGCGTGGTGGTGCCGGTTGGGTCGGGTCCGGTACCGGTCCGGTTCTGAGGCTAGCAGCTGCAGCCCTCCTTGGCCGGCTGGCTGTCGGCGTTGAGCCGGCCGCCCTGCGGCGCCGACGGCTTGTGCTGGACGCCGGACTCGGCCGCGTTCAGGTCCAAACTGCCGTCCTGGATGTTCTGGTAGATCTTCTTGGCCGCCTCCAGGAACGCCTCCTCCACATTCTCTCCTCTGGGGAACAGAACCAGAACCAGAACCAGGAGTGAAGCAGCATTTCTCACACTAACAGAACCTGAGGCGGTCCAACTCTTACGTCTTGGCGCTGGCTTCCAGGAACAGCAGACCTGAACCAACAGGAAGCAGAGAGATTGGATCAGAACCACTTCCTGTCTGACAGATAAGCCCCACCCCCTTGGCCCCGCCCCCTCACCGTTCTCCTCTGCGAACTGCTTGGCCTCTTCGTACGTCACGTCCCTCTGAGCCTCCAGGTCCGCCTTGTTCCCGATCAGGATGATCACCTGGAAACGGAGAAACGAATCAGAACCAAACAGCACCGCCTGGTGGAGAGCAGCGGGATTACAGCGCTGATTGGCGGACAACCGCTGAGTTACAGCGCCGCCTGGTGGCTAAAAGCTGCGTTACAGCAAAAGCATCATTCTGGTTCTGTCAGAACCCAGAGGTGTCATTTCCATCCCTGGTTCTGGTCGGATCCAGGTCAGAGGTCAGACGGCCTCACCGTGTTCGGGTTGGTCAGGTTCCGGGCGTCCGTCAGCCAGCTGCTCAGGTGGTTGTAGGTACTTCTCCTGAAAAACAGCAGCAGAAGACGAAGTTATTCAGCCTTCACTAGAAACAAAAAAATCATCTGCAGCAACAAATTAATGTGAAATATTTAGTTTCTGAATTTAAATTACACAGAAAAAATTATATTAAAAAATACTAATAATAAATAAAATTCTAAATGATAAAAAAAAGCATTTAAAAAGATGAACATTAAAAAATAGGTTTTTAAAAATCTAAAATTGATAAATATAATTAAACTAAAACTCTTAAGAAAATCTATATAATCGAATTAAAACAGGAAAAATTACATATTGACATATTGCATAAGGCATCAGATCTGTAGTAAAAGCAAAATTATGAAAATAAATAAAACTGATATCAACTGGAAAAATAACAACTACAGGAAAACTAACAAAAAACATTTAAATAAAATAAAAAGATAAGTTATGAAACACAAATAAAGATAAACTAAAATTCATAAATTTAAAAAAGCTTAACATTTTATTTAAGTAGAATGTAATAATAATGAAAAAAGCAATAAGAGGAGATTTAAATTGAATAAATATAATACAACTTATGTTTATTTATAACATTTTATTTACAGAAATGAACTAAAATCATCTGAACAGAAATTCAGAAAATTATTTTCAGCAAATTTGCTTCAAATTTTTACATCTTTGCCAAGAAAAGATAGAAATTGTTGCTCAGTAATGACTGAGATTATTAACCATGATAAAGAAGAACTGCAGGTGTGTAAGAATCATAATAATTAAAGTATGAGTTGATAACCACCTGGTGATGTCATAGACCATGAGGGCCCCCGCCGCCCCCCGGTAGTAGGACCTGGTGACGGCCCTGAAGCGCTCCTGACCCGCCGTGTCCCAGATCTGCAGCTTCACCTTCTGACCGTGGACCTCCATGATCCTCGTCCCAAACTCCACGCCGATGGTGTGAGGACAGTCGGCCATGACTGAACACACACACACACACACACACACACACAGAGGGTTCTGATCGGGTCCAATCAGAACCGGGTCACAGCTCGATAAGGAGACGATCACTCACATTTCTTCTCTGTGAACTGATGAAGCAAACATGACTTCCCGACGCCCATATCTCCTGAAACACACAAACGCATCAGGACACAGGTTAAAGGTGAGCTGATTGCAGCACAGCGGTGGAGGAGTGGTGATGTGGGCTTGTTCCAGTCAGAGGACATGGAGTGGACCCGGTTCGGACTCACCGATGATGATGTACTTGAAGATGTAGGAGTAGTTGTAGGGAGCGGCTGTCATGGTGACTCTGTGGACGAGACAAACAGGGACACAGTGAGACCCAGACCGGTTCCGATGGTCCGAACCGGGCCCGCGCAGCCTGACAGAACCCTAACGGGAACCGGAGGCAGTCAGGCTGGACCCAGAGTCCGGTTCCGAGGCGGTCCATCGTGCTTAGCAGAAGTCTCAAAGCCGATCAGCTGACTTCCCTCTCTGAGCTAACCGGCTAACAGCTAACAGCAGGAGGCCACTTTTTTCCCAAACTACACCGGGAATGACCCAGCTACAGCCCGGCAGCTCGTCCGGAACCAGAACCTGTAGCTTTACCTTCAGTGCGGCGGTCTGGTCCTCCTGGAAACTGGTTGAACTGCTGGTTAGCTGCTGGTTGAAGCTGTTAACCGCTGATCCGTCAGGAAACCTGCTTCACTTCCGCTTCTTCTTCTTCTGGCTTCACCGCAGATTCCATCCTAACAGTTATATTACCGCCACCTGCTGGGGGTGTTTAGCTTCTACAATGGGGAAAAAAGTGAAAGACGCGGAGCGAACCTGGAAAACGGTATAATTCACACATCTGCGTATTTTTTTAATTTTAAAGATTTTAATGTAATTTATTAGTTTATTTATACAGACCAACAACGCTAACATTTAGCTAACTCGCTAACCCTGCTGAGGCCTTGTTTACTGGAGATGTTTGTTCAGGCTGTGGCTCCAGCAGGTAAGGCTGGATGGACGAGTCTACCGTTGTTGACATCTGGCTCTGAGATGGTAAGAGGTGGTATCATGCTGTGGGCTGTCTGATGCAGCATTGACGCTGAGCCTTCAACGTCATCTCTTCATGAGATGTTCATCCAGTTTTCACCAAGACAATGAACCACATTCCAGAGGTTAGGCTGAGGAAGAGGAGGAGGAGGAGGAGGGTACAGCTGCTGGACTGTCTCTGAAGGAGAAGCTAAGGACCAGAAGTTGGACCCGGTGCTATTGGACACTTTATGTCAAGAATGAGAGGAACAACATCTGGAAGCTTTCCTGGTTTAGAAGTGCAGCCACAGAAAGTGGCTTCTAACTTTTAACTGCTGGGAGACGGAAAGAAACCACCGCAGACTGGAAACAACTAAGACAGGGGACAGGGGACAGGGGACAGGGAACGCGTCTGAGTCTGAAATACAGAGAGGGATGTGAACGTCTCAAAGGAAGCCCAGGAGACAGAAGAGGAGGTCAAGATGGACAGATATGAAGCAAAATCAGAATCAAAGGTTGCTTGCTTTTCACTCTGACCATCACAGACGGACGATCCCCCTCCTCCGTGTGTTCAGGTCTCGGAGGGGCAGGACTAGGTTGTGAGGGGCAGGACTGGGCTGGACTGGGCTGTCAGACCTCGGTGTGTCCCACAAAGCCAACAGAGGGAGTCCAGGAAGGAGGAAACCTGACGTCTGTTTTTCTTCCAGCAGAGATGAGACTGAAGATGAACTGCTGCTGAGACGACAGACATGGACAAACAGAAAGGTACTGAGGTTGTTTCTATTCTATTCTATTCTATTCTATTCTATTCTATTCTATTCTATTCTATTCTATTCTATTCTATTCTATTCACTGTTTCTCTGACAGACTGAATCTAACTCCAGATAACAGAGCAGCTCAGTAAAAACAGCCATTTGTCTTCAGATATGTAGAATATTTTAAGTAGATTTTAAGGGTTTATGTAATATTTGTTTACTTTATTTGTGTTTCTGAATCAAATTTAACAAGCAATTAATAAAAAAGTCTCAAAAGTTTTAATTATTCTGTTAAATATTGATCCAAAGTTTGCTGCAGATCAGCTTTTCTTCCTCTTCCATAACAGCCTGTGATCCTTAAATGATCCATAAAAGACCCAAATCACTTGTATAATTTAGCTTAATTTAATGTTTATTGAGATATTTTATATTGTACATTGTTGTGGTTCTGATTCCTGATTGAAGTTATGAAAAAGGACGTTAATCTGGCTGGAGGAGATGGAGTCATGTCACCACATCAGATTATAGAAAACCACCTAAAATTATCAACAAAAATCTGGTGGAAGACATTCTGAGGGAGACGATGAAGACAGTAAAACCACTGATGAAGTAAAGGTGAATGATCTGCACCATCCTGCAGCTATAATGTAGGTTTTATTGTTTTTATCGACTTTTCGATGTGCAACAGTAACAATTTCTGATTAAATAAAATAATTCACAGCATAGTTTATCAAATTATCAAGAAATTTCCTCATGTGGAATATCTGCAGCTTATTGTAAACTATTAAATCTCCTTATTATCAAAGTGTACAAACTGATACAATCCGTACCAAATATCCCATAAGAGTCAATATAAAAACACTAAAACTTCAAGAAGAAACGATGGAGTCAAAATGTAGTTGTCTTTATTTTTATGAAAATGTGATGCAGGTTTTTAATGTTTCAAACACTATGAAAACATGTTTTTACTACTTTAATGATAAAAATAAAAACTAAAGCAAACATAAACACCATGAAACATGAATATCTTTGTAAGAATCTGATGAGGCTTGTTTGTCAGGTTGAATATATCATTTCAAAATATCAACCTGTAACCAGATGTTAAACATACTTTAAATCATTAAATCCACATTTCTATTTTTAAAAATATTTTTCATTGGTCTAATGTAATTTTATAATCTAAATGTTTTGTTTTTATGAACTGTAAGCAGAAAATCATCATAATCATGAAAACAAGTCAGTATTTGACTTTTTAATTAACTGAAATAAATGGACTTTTCAATAATATTCTAATTTATTGAATATGACTTTTTAGGCAAGGCAAATATTTTCTAATTTGTTTGTGTTAAAAATGACAGATACAACATGTTTGACTGTTAAGATTAAGTATTTTAAAAATGTCTTCATAAACAGTTCAAGCTTTTACATGCAAAGGGTTTGAGATCAACAGCTGATTTAATTAACTTTTTCGGGCATTTTTTGAGGATTTTTCTCCTGACAGTTAAAATAATCTATTTAAATATTTTTATTTTATTTGTCTTTTTTGAACTGAATCAGACCTGATAAATTCCTTCTTTGTTACTTTTAAAGAGTCACTTTAAAAATTTTGTAATATTTAAGCTAAAGGCCTTCAAAGTTACGTTTATCTTCATGGATTAAATTTTAAAACCTCTGCTGCTGTTTGCACCTGATTTAAAAACAAACAGCAAGCTGTAAACTCATTTAGCTTCCAATAAAAACAGCAGAGTGATTCTCTGAGTGAAGAACCATTTTGTTTCTTAGCGGAATGGAAACAGCGACATGTATTTTGTGCAGCTGCAGCTGTTTGCCTATAGGGGGCACTGTTTCAGCCCGTCCTCCTTCTGCTGTGAAGTCTTTATCGTGCTGCTGGTATGTTAACAATCGGAAACACCCCTGCTTGCTCCTCCATCCTCCTCCTCCTTCCTGCTCTTCATCATCATGTCTTCCTCCCGCGGCGTCTCCGGGGTCACAGCTAATAGGCCGTTTAGATCCATCAGATTTCCGGGTGTTTGTGTCTTCAAGGTATCCAAACCAACAGTTATTCCCATATTAAGAGCTAACCCAGCCCACTGAGAAATCAGGAGAGCAAACGGAAACTAAATGCTGAGGAACATTGAGGAGATAAGCTGCTGGTGTCTCAGCTCAGAAACATGAATGGAGTGTTTTCTCCCCAGCAGATGAAAGAAAGTGGCTCCTCCCTGCTGCACACATGTTTGCACTTCTCTACATCTGAGGTCCCAAAATCACACGATTTTGTCTCAACAAACATGAATCAATGTCATTCTAACACGAAAAGACAACTTCGAGCCCCTAAATACCTATTTGAAGATTTGATCAGCCCAAAACGTCCCCATAATTCACCATGTCCCCATAAGGGATATAAATACACAAGTCCCCACAAACACAGCTGGACAGACACACAACATGTTTGGGGGTTTTGCAGGAATCACATCTTCTGACTAATTTCAAGGTTTGGTTCTCATGGCAGCGCTGCTGAAACTACTTTTTCTAAAAGCTGCAACCGAAGCCGATTACAGGAGCAGCTGAGGCCCGTTTCTCTCTGCTTTGATTTCAGGCTTCAGGCCACAAATAAACACAGAAACGATCAGGAAACAACTGACAAGACTGATCAGCTGGGAGCCAATCTGCTAACTGGGGAAGATGTGGCTAAAACCAGGGAGAGCGGGCTCTGGAGGACCGGACCCGGACACATCTGGCTGAATCTGGGTCACATGCAGCTGCAGACCAGCAGCCATTGTTGAGCAGCTTAGCTAAGGCTTTTAATGGAGAACTGAGTGAGGACCTCCACTTGTTTCTGGATCCATGAACCGAAGCCAGGAAGGTTTTAACCACAGCAGCTGGTTTTAACAGAGCTGTAGGGTTTAACGGCCGGACTCTCAGTTCTACAGCCGGTCCAGGAGAAAAACTCAGCTGGTGTGAGACCAGGATCACAGATGCGGCTGATTTAGTTTGATCTTCATGCACGCATCATGGGGTAAACACATGAGAATTATATAAAGTTCTCTTTTTGTGTTCTCTGTTATTTTGTGGTGAAGTTGTTATTTTTCATATGAAAGTGTCAGTTTTAGGTCAGTGCAGCTTGAAGCCAGAGACAGGAAGTGATGGTGAGATCACAGCGTTAGCAAGTTAAATATTTAGTTTAGTTTGGAATTAATTAGTAGTAAAGCTAAATGTTAATTAGCGAGCTAAAAATTAATTAGCAAGCTAAATATCTCGCTAGCAAGCTAAATGTTTAATTTGTAATGAAGCTGAATATAAGTTAGCAAACTAAATATTTTGTTAGCCATCTAAGTATTTTGTTTGTAATCAAAATATTTGGTTAGGAAGCTAAATGTTTAATTTGTACATAAGCTAAATATTAATTTGCAAGCTAAATACTTAGCTAGCAACCTCAATATTCAGTTTATAGGCTGAATATGTAGTTAGCAATCTAAACATTTTGTCTGTAAGCTACGTATAGCTAGCCAACTTAAATGGTTTGGACTTAAATATTTAATTTGTAAGCTAAATATTTAGCTTCCTACTTAAATATTTAGTTAGCGACTATTTAGCTTATAGGTAAATATTTGGCTTGCTAACTAAATATTTAGTTTGAAACTGGGACATTTATAAATGAATGAAAACCCTGTTATTTTGTCTTATGATGAGTTAAAAAACCCAAATTATTGCTGTTAATATTTCACTGTGTAACAAGCAGCACCGAGTTTTTTAATGCATCCTGTGTGTTTCTGGACGTGTCCAGTGTTTTTGAACATGTCCCGTGTTTGTGGACGTCTCCAGTGTTTTTGAACATGTCCCATGTTTCTGGACGTCTCCAGTGTGTTTGGATGTGTCCAGCCGTCCTCGTGTCTCGTGTTGTTGCTGCAGAGCTGTGGGTGTGAGAGGTATGTGCAGCTCGGTGTTTAAAGCAGCAGCGGCCTGATAAGCAGTGCTGTGAAACGGCAGAGGAGTTAATCAACATTTAACCTCCGTCTCCCACGCCGCCGCCTGAATGGACGCAGTCTGTCCCCATGAATGGACTCCAGGACAGGCCTCCATTGTTCAGGACGGCTCTGTCTGCATGTCCGCCTCACAAGCGGCTCTGAGATCGGCCCTTTGAGACTCATTTGCCTCAATGAAGCTCAGATAAACCAGAAAGTAAAGGTTCTACCAGAACCAGAACCAGAACCGGACCTTCTTGAGGCACCAGCTGGTCTCCACCTCTAAACCAGCTGAATACAGACATGGGACTGATGCAGGCTGGGGGTGCAGGCATCACATGAATACAGAGTTTATTTTTTATGTGACAGTGAAATTAAATATTAAAATTTACTCCAAAGAATATCTGAAAAGTGTGGAGTGCATCTGTATGCACCTTTGAAACATTCAGTTTTGTTCTCTGATCATATTTACTGTCTCTCCTAAATAACTTATGGAAAACTGTAAACAGGACTTCTTCTGGATTCTTCTTGTCAGTCTAATGAATACTGCCGCCGCTGGCTGCAGGTGGTACTGCAGATGTACAAACTGATGGACAGTTTAGGTTGTTTGTTTCTCCCTGGAAAATAATTCATGAGCCTTATTTGCATCACAGCAAATGTTATTCTCATGATTTTCCCCCCAAAAGGCCACAAATTCCTCAGATTCCTATAAAAGGCAGGAAGGGAAGGAGGATGAGTCGGAGGCTCATTTCGCTCAGCAGACACTAAAACTGCTTTAATCTCATTTATTCTGAGATTAAACCGCCACCAGGTTTAGTTTACAGGATCATTTGTTTGTGATGCTCAAAGCCAGAAACGGATAAAATCACATTAAAGAATCACATTTTGTCAAACTGAGTCTCTCCTGTAGAATCGATGCATCTGCAACAGACATGAACCCGAAAAAATAAGATTTCAGCAACAATGAAAACATCAAACATTAATTTGATGTTAATCAGAATAAATTCAACTGATGAATCCAGAATGTAACTTGTTTCTGATAATTATATGTCAAAAATACATTTATGTTCTGAATCAATAATTATTATGGTTTCTAAACATTTCTAAGCTCTGAAACTTTAATCTTTCATCTTTTATTACATCTGACATGTTTTTCAAAAACTTTAGTTTTATCTGACAGATTATCTTATGGAGCTGCTTGGAGACTAAATTAAACATTTATGCTACAAATTAATAAATAAAGTATTAAAAAGTGTCACTGTGTTGATAGCCATTAAAATCATAAAGTTTATTTGTGAAGCATATTTCAGCAGTTCAAAGGACAAAAAAACAAAAACATGAGATACAGCGGTAAAAATAAAAAGAAGGAATCAACAGTTTCAATACAAATACATTTAATTTTAGTTTATTTCCAGTTATTATTGAGGCCCTAAAGCGACTTTTGCGAGAATTTCTTCCAGTTTGTCTCTGATTTGATTTTTAATAATCAGTTCATTGATTATTTATCTGGTTCTGAAACTTTATCAACTGAGCAGCACAAACATCAGGCGCTGGATCAGAAGGTTAAACATTAGCAGCACCGAGTGTTTGCTCTGATCCGCTACATGATGGGAGAAACTTTCCTGCTTTTTATCCAGTTTTCCTTGCCGAGCGTCAAACCAGCGGAAAACAAGCCGAGGTGTTTTAATCCGTCCACAGAGAGAAAAACGCTTCATTCGTCTGATTCTTTACATCTGTGATTATTAATAACCGTTATTGATTCCCGCTGATGTTTACAGTCAGATCTGCTGATGAAGCTGAATCTGGTTGATGATGCAAAGCTGCTGGAATGATGGAAACAGTTAAACATTAAGGAAGGAGAGCAAACAGACAGAGAGTCTGTTTCAGAGGAAACACAGATAAGGACCAAACATGAGTCACCGCAACTCAGGCAACCGTTGCCTCTCTGTCCCTCTCAGGCAACCGTTGTCTCTCTGTCGCTCTCAGGCAACCGTTGCCTCAGCTGTAAACTGGAGAGATGGAGAGGCAAAGTCAGAGCTGCTGGATGTCTGAACTTCTCTCAGTGGCTCCAAACATGGCGGCAACGAGGGAGACGGACTAGAGACTGACTCATTCAGTTACTGACTCGTTCAGTTACTGACTCGTTCAGTTACTGACTCGTTCAGTTACTGACTCGTTCATTTACTGACTCATTCAGTTACTGACTCGTTCATTTACTGACTCATTCAGTTACTGACTCGTTCAGTTACTGACTCGTTCATTACCTGGCTTGTTCACTAACTGTTGAGTGACTGACTCGTTCGTTAACTCGCCCACTGCTCCTCTCTCTCCCTGCTGTGCTCAGTTCTGGCGAAGCTGATCTGGGATCTGCAGACGTTCCTGTCGGTTCTCGACTCGGAGAACCTGAGCTACATCGCTCAGGCGCAGAAGAAGTCGATCTCAGAGCTGCTGTCCAAACTGCAGACGCCCGACGCTCCAGGTAGCGACCTGCTGATCACTTCCTGGTTCACCCGGTTCCACTTCCTGTTTGGTCCGAATAAACGGCGCAGACGGAGAGAAACAGGCTGCAGATGAAACACATTCACAGATTCATCTGAGCCTCTAGGACATATTAATGTGATGGAAACATTTAGCTTCTTAATGTGTGAATGGTTTCCTGTGTCTGCAGTGGAAGATGCTGAGTACATGGTGATGAGCTGTCCCTCATCGTCGCTAGGCAACGAGCTGGATGACTCACCTGGGACAGGTACGCCGCGGCGCCGCCTTCCTTCTCCCACCTCAGATCCGATGTTTGCTCCATGTTTGGTTGTTTCCAGATGCAGTTTGGTCGTCTCAGCTGATCTCACATCAGGACCCGTCGGACTGGATGAAGAGCGGGGTGAGCAAACATCACTGGGCAAACTGGGCAAACTGGTTTCTCTTCCAGGGCTGTCAAATAAAAACAGATTTAAAGGAAAAGAATCCAAAGAAAAACTGAAAAGTCTCCAGAAATCCTGCAGTGGCGGTTTAGAGAACCTCGACAAAACCTCCTGTTTCCCATCATACGGTTACCACGGCAACACAGGAGCATCGTTAATCAGCGGTAAGGAAAAGGGTCATCATCCCATCACGGCAGGTCAGACTCTAACCAAACCTCCTCGCTCCCCGACCTCAGAGAGGAGCTCAAAGGAAAACTGGGTGGAGGGAAGAAAGTTTGTTTTTAGACGGGATCCAGCGCCTGTGATGTGGGTCAGTAATGACAGACCGGGGCCTCCGGGGGTTTGGGAGGAGACGGCGGGGTGAGCGGGTGTGTGTGAGGGAGGCACAGGAAGCGCTCTGTTTACACGGGAGGCCGCCGCGCTGCGCTCCCATTGGCTGACGGACCTGCAGGGGGAGGAAGCGGCTGCTGATGGCGGCAGATTAGCATCTGGTCTACGTGATGGACAGAAAACACACACACACACACACACACACACACACACACACACACAAGATAAGATCAAAATCCCAGCACAGCGTTCACAGAGCTCACAAAAGTATTCACACCCAGTAACTTTAGATTTCCTGGGATTTTATCTGGTGGAGCTCAAAGTAACTATAAAAACATGAGTTTAATTCTGACATCATAATTTACATGTTCTATAAAGTCTTTAAATATTACATTTAGGTTCATGTCGTATCCTTTAATGTTTATTTTGTTGCTGAATGTTTCTTGTTTTAATTAAAGTTTTTGGGGAAAAACATGATGAGAGGAAACGGAACAGTCCACTTCAAAATAAGAGCCCGAATAGAAACTACTTGAATAATTTTTATGAATTGGCGATGAAACTTCAGCACAAATGTTGAACTTTATTCAGCTGGAAGTTTACTTATAGCAAAGTAAATTAGCGCTCTCCATGCGGAAGCTAAGTGCGCTAAATGTTAGCAAGATGAGCAAAGCGCTGTAAGAAGAATTAGCTCTGCTATCAGCGGATTAGCGACATGTGCTCAGCATATGAATGACTGTTTGCAGGGCCCCACCGTCCCTCCTCATCCTCCAGACGGGCTTGGCGGTGACGATGAAGAGGACACGTACGAGGAAGCAGAACCTTACGTAGCGTCTGAAACCACCGCGTCCAACACAGGTACGCAGACACAGCAGAGGAACCTCAGCGGGTCTAAAGCCACTGAACAGGAACCTTTTCCTTCCTCCAGAGAGGGCGGAGTCAGAGAGCAGTCACTACGAGTCGTACGGTGAAGAAGAGGATGATGAGGATGAAGGAGGCGGCCTTGTGAAGGACAGAGCTCACTACATCCAGTGGAGCAGCTCCCAGATCAGCCTGCGGCCCACGCCGGAGTCCCGGCTCTGCGGGTACCTGTGGAGGAGGAAGTGGCTCGGACAGTGGAGCAAGCAGCTCTTCATCATCAAGAACGACATGCTGCTGGTGAGGAAGAGGAGGAAACGCACACCCTGCAGCTGCAGTGCCTGTAATCTCCACTAGAGGCCGCTGCGGAGACCCAAAGTGTTCAATCCAGACCCGTTGAACACTTTGGGTCTGGTTTGGTTGTTCTGCTTTGTCCCTCATGGCGTGATGTGGCGTTATTGATGCTACGTCACCTGATCAGGTTGAGGCGCCTTGGCGGACATCTTTAGTGAGGGACAGAAGTCCTGAACGGAGCGACTGCGATTGTTGTCCCATACTGCCAGTATGAACATTCCTTCTACTGGTTCAAGATGAGATGATTTATCTGAGGAAGGATGAGAACCAAGAACAGGAAGATGGATGGATGGATGGATGGATGGATGGATGGATGATGGTGGATGGATGGATGGATAATGGATGGATGGATGATGGATGAGTTACAAAGTGGCTGTTCGTCCGTCCATCCATCCATCATCCATCCATCCATCCATCTGTCTGTCTCCACCAGTGCTATAAATTTGCCCGGGACCTGCTGCCCCAGCTGGAGTTGAACCTTCACGGCTGTCAGATTGTCTACAAGTCGAAGAGCAGCGCTAAGATCCAGCACCAGCTCAAACTGGTCCCAGTGGGCTCTGAGTCTCTGGTTCTGGGCTACAGCAGCTTCCAGCAGGCGGACGAGTGGAGGAAGGTCAGCAGTTCACCAAGCACCTTTCAACCTGAACCAACCTCTATAAACCCTGGGCTGCTGACAGCAACATTCATGGACGAGCTGTTCCTGATGTGAAGTCATTCTCTGTGTTTCCTGTATGAAGGTGATCGAGGAGGTGAGCGCTGGAGGGGAAGTGGAGTCTCAGAGCTTCTCCTCTCTGAGTAAATCTGATCTGCGACTGTCCTGCAGGGTAAGAAACACACCAAGGTTCTCCTGGCCCAGTGAAGAACATCCAGATGGGGAGCTTTTAAACTCTAAAAACCAGGAAAAACCTTAAGAAAACATCTGTACTAATAGGAAACAAACATGTGAACTCTAAGTGAAAATGTTTTTGTTGTGTCTTCAGTCCAGTACAGTTCTTACCGACTCTGATGAGGAGAAACCTTCAGCTTACTGCAGCCTCAACAGAGACAAAGGTACTGAAACTTTACTTCTGTGTTGAGAAAAACAGAACTGTTGAACTTTCTGAAGCAAATCTGGCAAACCTGGATACTTAGCCGGTTCTAATAAATTAGTCTTGGTTGAAGTCTTCACCATAAGGGTTGTCACAACATCTTGCACTAGCAATACAATCCATCAGAACATTCATCATCGGTTACTACACACTCCGACTCTATGTGGTTTACATCCCGGACAGGCCCCCAATTTACAGCTGGTTGATTGGGGGGATTTATGTTAAGGTGATGATGGACTTTAAATTATTCAAAACTGACTGTAGACAGTTCAGAAACAGTCAACTGTTTACATGGATAATTTAGGAATAAATCTTTTTAATTGAACAATTCAGAAAAATTTAGTGGAAGCCGTGACAAAGATCCAGATTCAAGCTGTGAGAACAAGCGAGATGCCAAGTCAGTGATCCAGAAACCCAGGATGTAGGGTTGGGAATCGAAACTTCTGCAGACTGTCCAAGAGAGGGAGGGTGATCGGAACTGAAGGGTTGAAGTACCAGGTCAGCAAGGGCCCTGTACCTACAGAAAGAAAGGCAGCTGAATGGCAACAACAATGTTGAACCCATTTACACTGACATCATGTAATAACCTGGAGGAGACAGAAGCTGACACCAAAACTCCTAGACGACAAATGAGTGTCAAAGCAGCTATGCAGGATGAAACAGCAAAGATCCTGGAGTTTATCAGGATGATCACTCCTAAATGCTGGGTTTTACCAAATCAGAACCAAACATTCAGCCTGTGGGAAGAAGCTCCTGAAACAGTCCAACTCATGATGGCTGAGTGTGAGGTAAGCAAAGTGTTCATGGAGCATCACAACCAAGTAGCAGGTGGAACTGTGTTAATACGAGATGAAGGCCCTACAGGGAGACACCACAAGAGATCATTCCTGATTGGGACTGATCAGGAAATGATCCAGACTGATGGACAGGTGGTGACTTACTGGCTGGATCACAGTGGAGCAGCAGTGGTAGGCGTAGAAGAAAGACCACCAGAAACACCAGGATAGGAACAGAGAAGCTGATATTGGCCCCAAACTGGAGGAGAGGGCTGCAGCCTGTATGGGTTTGCAGTAAATGCCGGTCGGTGACTTTTGGTGCTGTGGACCTGCAGGGTTCCTGAACGTCCTGATGAACTGCCAGTGGCAGAGTTTACAGTGTCAGGTGGAGGACGGCGTCCTCAACATGTTCGGAGAGGAGATGGAGAAAGACGAGGAGGAAGAGGTGAAGCGGTCGCCTCAGTACACGGTCCAGCTCCGAGGCTGTGAGGTCAGAGACGACCCAGACCGTTGCTACAGGATCTCACTGAGCATGCTCGGCGACCAGGTGGCCGTGCTGGAGGTGAGCTGGCAGATCGGAGCTCCGGAGTCTCAGGTTAGTTCCTCATCATCAAGTCTTTCTGTCTAACCTTCATCACTTCAGGTGAGCTCGTTGGAGGAAAAAGAAAAATGGCTGAAGCTGCTGCAGGACGGAGCTGCCAGTCGTGGTTACCATGACAACAAGACTCAGGAGAACACAGGTGGCGCCCTCAGGTGGGACAAACTTTTTAAAACCAGCAAATCCCTTCATGAGATCACTCTCTTTCTGCTCTCTGAGTTTAAACCTTGCTCTTCTTTCCTCAGCGGGCTGCAAACGCGCCGGTTCCCAACCTCCAACGCCTACATGGACGACCCATTCTGCCTTACCAGAACCACCAGCAGCCAGCCCCTCTACTCCAACTCCGCTCCACAGAAAGCCCTGGTACAAGCCGGAAATTCATTCTTCTGACGATCCTCCCTGCAGTCGATGGGGAAGATGTGCTTTCTGTGTAGAGGCTGCTGATCCCTGTTTGTCTTTCAGCAGCACGGCTCTCAGGATTCAGCTCACCGTAACTCAGTGTCGTCCAGAGAATCGGTGACCTACAGCAACACGGTGCTGAGCAGCAGTGAGTCAGACCTGGACCAAACCTTCAGGATGAATAATCTGATCAGTGGTCTCAGACTGAACTCCTCAAGGGCCAGAGTTCTGCAACTTCCAGACGTGTCTCTTGTCCCACCGGCTGAATTAAATGATGAAGCTGCCCTGCTAGCATGCAGTCTGCTCCGCTACTGAGCCAGGAGAAGACAGCTCAGGGTGCATCATCGCCGTCCCTGTTCAGTCCCCTTTAACCCAACTCCAGTCCATCTGCCTAGTCAAAGTCCGGTCCAGTTGGAGAGGTGTGAAAACTAATCAACCTCTGACCTCTGGTCCTCCATACCTCAGTCTGGGTTCGGTTGAAGTGAACTCTGGTTCAGCTTGAATGTGAAAGCCAAGCGGACCAGAGGCCATTACAAAAGCAGGAAGTGGGCTACAGCGCAGGGCATTCTGGGTAAATACAATCAAAGCTAACATGCTAGCCAATGCTAGCAGCAGAAATGGCTCCTGGTCTTTAGCCAAACACTAAAGAGAAATCCTCCAACACCAGAATCTGACGCCTCCATCTTGTTTCCATCTGGTGAAGAAGGAAGTTGCTCTCAGTGTCTTCAGAGGTTTTTGTGTCGTTTCCTTCAGTGGTTCTTGGTGCAGCGCCCCCACAGGCCAGGAGGGGAACAGGTTGGTTTGACCCAGAGAACCACAGCAACCGGAGGTGGAGCAGGTGATGGAGTTCTGGTTCCAGTAGAACCGGACCATCAGGAGGGAAAACATGCTGAAAGTTGCAGGACGTCCTGAGGACTGCAGTTTGAGACCTCTGACCCCTGACCTTGAGGTTTGCTCATAGAGTAAAGTGAAGTGTGTTTTTCAGGCCGGATGGCGCCGGCGATGCAGCGCGATGTCCAGAAGCTGAAGCTGGTCGACACGCCGGCGGTGCAGCTGAGAACCGGCTCCGAAACCAACCTGGCGTCTGCTGTGAAGCGAAACAAGCGCACCTCCTTCAGGCAGTCTCTGGCCATCTGCACTGAGCGCGCTCAGGTGAGCTGCACCTGCTGAGGTCCTGCTGGTTTCCTCCTGTGACCTCTGACCTCTGACCTGGTCTGCTCTGGTCCAGGCGGGCTTCCTGAACCCTCTGCTGCGGCGGACGGCCTCGGCCAAGAACTCGCTGAGACGAGCTCCTTCTGCGCTCTTCATCGAACACGGGAAGGTTTTCCAGAGGAAGAAGGTGGGACGGATCAGACATGTTAACCTGCCGCCATGTTTCATTTCTGAAAAACCTTTTGAATCCTGCTGCAAAGACCATTAGAGGAAAGGTTTTAACTTCAGTTAAATCTACCTTATGGGACTCTAACATTTTTAATTGACTTCATTTCAGGCCTCTTAATTAACTAATGTCAATGGAATCAAAAACCATATTCGACTTTTTGCTCCTGATTTACTGAATAAATCCACATGAACATCAAACATGTTTCTAGTTTTAATCTTCAGGCTCTTCAAGCCTCAGATTGGATCAAAGTTCATCTATCCAGAGTTTCTCTGATCATTCAAGGAGCTTCTTTAGAAATGTGGATGCTTCCATTAGCATTAGCTGCTACATGTTAGCACTGAGATGATGCTGATATGCTAACTCCTTTTAGCAGAACCTGAAAGGACCAGGTTCTGCTAAAAGGTTGATTCATCATGTTGTTTCCATTAAAACATTCAAAGTGTTTGACAATCCAGAAACGGTTTGATGTTGGTGAATAGAAACACGTTTCCATGAATAACTCAACAAGAGGAGATGATTCTAACTGGTGGTTTTATTTTTCTCTACAGGAATGGGAGACCAAAGCTGCTGCCTGACGTTTTCCTCCTCATCAGCATCCAGCAGGCGGCGCAGGAACGCTCTGCTCTGATTGGCTGTTTGGACTCTAATCATTCAAACTGGTTAAAGGTGACCAACTGGACCAACTGGGCCAACTGGCTCAGTGTTTATTATAATCAAGAACAAAATATTTTTCCATGATTCATTTCTTCTGGCTCCAGTTAAGCTACTATTTGTCTGAACTGTTGGTCCTGGACTCAATCTGCTCCTGCAACACGCGGTCCAGCGCCTGGCCCTTTAAGGCTGCCTTCCGCCTGCTTCTGATTGGCTGTTAAGAGGTGGGAACATACGACCATATAAGGACATGCCAAAGTTGGAAAAGCTGCCTGATTAGAGATTAACTGAGGTCAGTCTACTATTTAACTAAAGCAGGGCAATGCCCACAGCCTCAATCTACCAGGGGCCAGGGGTGCCAGGGTCCCAGGGTGCCAGGGGCCCAGGGGCCCAGGGTGCCAGGGTCCCAGGGTGCCAGGGGCCCAGGGTCCCAGGATGCCAGGGGCCCAGGGTGCCAGGGGCCCAGGGTGCCAGGGTCCCAGGGTGCCAGGGGCCCAGGATGCCAAGGGCCCAGGGTGCCAGGTGCCCAGGGTGCCAGGGGCCCAGGGTGCCAGGGTGCCAGGGGCCCAGGGTGCCAGGGGCCGAGGATGCCAGGTGCCCAGGGTGCCAGGGGCCCAGGGTGCCAGGGTCCCAGGGTGCCAGGGTCCCAGGGTGCCAGGGGCCCAGTGTGCCAGGTGCCCAGGGGCCAGATGCCCAGGGGGCCAGGGGCCCGGGGTGC